AGTCTTCTCTCATTAGTTTCCTAGCCTGTGTGCCCAGGTACCCTACAGTGCTGCATTTCAGTTCCAGGGGTGAGAGTTATCAATAGTTATAATTTTTTAAATAATTATAAATGTTTTTAAAGTATCTCTAACATTTGCAACTGTGTTTTTCCAGTTTAAAATTATTTTGAAGGCCAGGCATGGTGGTTCACGCCTGTAATCCCAGCACTTTGGGAGGCTGAGGCAGGTGGATCACTCGAGGTTAGGAGTTCGAGACCAGCCTGACCAACATGATGAAGCCCCGTCTCTACTAAAAATACAAAATTAGCCAGACGTGGTGGTGCACGCCTATAATCCCAGCTACTCAGGAAGCTGAGACAGGAGAATCACTTGAACCCGGGAGCCGGAGGTTGCAGGGAGCCGAGATTGCGCCATTGCACTCTAGCCTGGGCAACAAAAGCGAGACTTTATCCCAAAAATAAAATAAGTAAAATAAAATTATTTTGAAATTGTATTTGAACAGTGTGGTGTTTCACACAGTTCCCTCTTTGAACATCTTGGTCCAGTGCAAGATCTAGTGTGTGGCTCCTACTACCAGAGAGGAGCTGTGAGGGGCTGCAGTATACAGCACTTCTCTGACCTTCTGTGGGAATCATTCGACTTAACCTGATTTTTGCCTTGCTCCTGCTCATCAAGATACTTTGTTGGTGTGCATATGTGTAGTATTTAAATACTTATTAGATTCAATCTGCTCTTTTCACAATTTTTTCTGGTAACATGGAAGCTGTATCTTTTATTATTAGAATCAGCATCTATTATTAGGCACTGCTTTAAAGGAACATAACTATTTCATTTTCTTAGCTGTTATTTACCCCATTCTTTTATCTTCCCTTCCTCCCTTCCTCTTTCCTTTTTTCTTTCTCTCTGTCCCTCATTCTTTCTTGCTCTCCCTCTCCCCAATTTCTCCTTCTCCCACTCTCTATTATTGGATTTTTTTTTTTTTTTAACGGCAGCACTTTTATTTTTCCTTACACAATGACGTGTTGCTGGGGCCTAATGTTCTCACATAACAGTAGAAAACCAAAATTTGTTGTCATCTCTTTAAAGAATTGAGAATTATGTACAAAAAAAACCTTACATAAATTAAAAGGATGAATATATCTACAGGTGTAAATCCAAACCGCTTCCAACTCAAGGCAAGTAATTGTTCTTGCAGGAAAACATCAGCTAAGAAAGGAAACTGGGTCCTATGGCTTGGACTTTCCAACTCAGACAGACCAGAAGGACAGAAACAACTGGTTCAGGAGCCCTTGCCAGCCTGTAGAGAAATCCCAGAACACTCAGCCCTGACACATTAATACCCTGCACATATTGGAGACTGCTGGCCATGCAGACTCACCAAGCCACAGACTTGTCTTCCACAAGCACATTCTTACCTCAGCCACAAAGTGGCCAAGCCACATGTACTAAAGGTTGAAATCAAAGACGCGTACAGGGTATTAAACACATACCAAGGGGAACAGTTAACTTGATTATAAATTGAATAGAAAGTCAAAATCAGCAACAAGTCTACAATGCAGTGCTGATATCAGATACAAGCTTCAAGGACAAATTTCTTTGTGTGTGTGTGGTTTTTTTGTTTGTTTTTGTTTTTTGTTTTTTGTTTTTTGTTTTTTGTTTTTTTTTTCAGACAGAGTCTCACCCTGTTCCTGTTGCCCAGGCTGGAGTGCAGCGGTGCAATCTCGGCTCACCACAACCTCCGCCTCCCAGGTTCAAGCGATTCTCCTGCCTCAGCCTCCCCAGTAGCTGGGATTATAGGCAAATGCCACCATGCCTGGCTAATTTTTGTATTTTTAGGAGAGACGGGGTTTCACCATGTTGGCCAGGCCGGTCTCGAACTCCTGACCTTGTGATCCACCCGTCTAGGCCTCCCAAAGTGCTGGGATCACAGGCATGAGCCACCACACCTGGCCACAAATTTCTTTTTGAAGGCTTTTTCCAGTTTTGTGAGGCTAGCATGAGGTTTATGCATTTGCCAGGGGCAAATTTATACTCCTGAATTAACCCATGCAGCAAACGCTGAACATCTGCTTGCAGTCCATTTAGAGGCATTTGCAGTGGACGATGGAGGGGCCAGACTCATCATACATAGCTAATTGCTAATCCACATCTGCTAGAAGGTGGACAGTGAGGCCAGGATGGAACCACCGATCTACACCGAGTACTTGTGCTGTGGGGGCATGATGATCTTGATCTTCATGGTGCTGGATGCCAGGGCAGTGATGCCAGGGTACATGGTGGTGCTGCCAGACAGCACTGTGTTGGCATACAGGTCTTTGCGGATGTCCACGTCATACTTCATGATGGAGTTGAAGGTGGTCTTGTGGATGCTGCAGGATTCCGTGCCCAAGAAGGAAGGTGGAACAGTGCCTGCAGACACCAGAACCACTTGTTGCCGATGGTGATGACCTGACCTGGCCGTCAGGCAGCTCGTAGCTCTTCTCCAGGGAGGAGGAGGAGGAGGAAGATGTGGCAGTGTCCATCTCCTGCTCGAAGTCCAGGGCGACATGGCACAGCGTCTCGTTGATGTCGCGCACAATCTCCTGCTTGGCCGTGATGGTGAAGCTCAGTGAGGATCTCCATGAAGTAGTTGGTCAGGTCCCAGCCATCCAGGTCCAGATGCAGGATGGCATGGGGGGAGGGCGTGGCCCTCGTAGATGGGCACCATGTGGGTGACCCTGTCTCCAGAGTCTATGACAATGCCAGTGATGCGCCCAGAGGCTTAGAGGGACAACACAGCCTGGATGGCCACATACATGGCTGGGGTGTTGAAGGTCTCAAACATGATCTGAGTCATCTTGTCTCTGTTGGCCTTGGGATTTGGGGGGCCTCGGTCAGCAGCACCGCGTGCTTCTCCAGGGCCATGCACAGCTCGTTGTAGAAGGTGTGGTGCCAGATCTTCTCCATGTCGTCCCAGATGGTGATGATGCCATGCTCGATAGGGTACTTCAGGGTCAGGATGTTGCGCTTGCTCTGGGCCTCGAGGCCCATGTAGGAGTCCTTCTGGCCCATGCCCACCATCACCCCCTGGTGCAGGGGGGTGCCTGACGATAGAGGTGAACACAGCTCCGGGGCCATCCATCCCCAGCAAAGCCAGCTTTGCACATGCCAGAGCCATTGTCAATGACAAGCGTGGCGATCTCTTCTTCCATTGCAACCTGTGGAGGAGCGGGGCGGCAGAGCCGTGGGAGGACATGGTGTACGGGCTGGTGGCAGCAAGTGAGTGTATTACTGGATTTTGAAGTTAACAATTTGCCAAATACTGATTTTTGATGGAAATTCATTCTGAATTATTTTCTTTAAAAAAAAAAATAGAAAGCATATAACAGGAGAATTACTTAATTAAATTGATTCCTTGGCTCGGTGGCTATGCCTGTAATCTCAGCACTTTGTGAGGCCGAGGTGGGTGGATCAGTTGAGGCCAGGAGTTTGAGACCAGCCTGGGCAACATGGCGAAACCCCATTTCTATTAAAAATTCAAAAATTAGCCAAGCATGGTGGTGCGTGCCTGTAGTCCCAGCTACCCAGGAGGCTGAGGCATGAGAATTGCTTGAGCCTAGGAGGCAGAGATTGCAGTGAGCCGAGATTGTGCCACTGCACTCCAGCCTGGGCAGCAGAACCAGACCCTGTCTCAAAAACAAACAAAAAATCTGTCTAGGCTGGTCGTGGTGGCTCATGCCTGTAATCCCAGCACTTTGGGAGGCTGAGGCAAGTGGATCACCTGAGGTCAGGAGTTTGAGACCAACCTGGTCAACGTGGTGCAACCCCATCTCTACTAAAAATACAAAAATTAGCTGGGCATGGTGGTATATGCCTGTAATCCCAGCTACTCGGTAGGCTGAGGCAGGAGAATGACTTGAACCTGGGAGGCAGAGGTTGCAGTCAGCCTAGATTGCACCACTGTACTCCAGCCTGTGTGATAGAGTGAGACTCTGTCTCAAAAGAAAAGAAAAAAAAAAATCCATACGTGAGTGTAAGTAATACTTTGTGAATTTTTAGACTTTTTATTAACCACCGGAGAATATTTATTACACCTGGGTGTTTTTTTTAAAGAATACTGTTTTTATTCTGAAATATGTAGACCATTTTGCATATATCAGCCAGTGTCCCTTACATAATTTATTTCATGTAATTTTCATCTTTCTCATGTAAAATAGTTACTATTTAATCTTTCCCATGTAAATCTCAGTTCAGCCACTTAGTGGATCCAAGTCTCCAGGCAGCTGCCTTAGTCTTTCTGTGTCTCAAGTACTTCTAATCCATATTGTAGAGTGAGGTGAATTTATAGATTTCAAGATCTATAAGTTCTATAGATCTATAGATGAATTTATAGATTTCAGGATTATACCTGGGTTTTTAAAAATGTTTCCATGCAATTTATTTTAAAGCACTCTTAATGCATTTAAGTTTTATTTTTAAATGCATTAAAATTTAAATTAATTTTTGAACATTTAAAACATTAATTTTTAACATTTAAAATTAATTTTTCTTTTTGGTAGATACTGGGTCTCTCTATGTTGCCAGAGCTAGTCTTGAACTCCTGGCCTCAAGAAATCCTCTCGCCTCAGCCTCCCAAAGTGCTGGGATAGAGGCACAAGCCACTATGCTTGGCCAAAATTAATTTTTGAGCCCAACACGGTGGCCCACACCTGTAGTCCCAGTTACTCAGGAGGCTGAGGCAAGAGGATTGCTTGAGCCCAGGAGTTTGAGTTTGTGGCGTACGATGATTGTGCCTATGAATAGCCATTGTACTCAAGCCCGGGCAATATAACTAGACCCCATCTCTAAATAATAGTAATTTTTTAGAACCTAACATGTAAATTTAATTTATACAAATATTTATTTTAAAATTTGTATTAGGGTTCTCCAGGGAAACAGAATCAATAGGATATATATGAGAGAGCGAACTAGAGAGAGAGAAGGACAGACAAACAAAGATTCATTGTAGGGAGTCAACTCACATGATTGTGTAGGTTGACAGGTCCCAATATCTGCAAGGTGAGTTGTCAGGAGGAAGACCCAGGAGTACTAATGGTGTAGTTCCAGTTCAAAGGCTGGCAGACTCAAGACCCAGGAAGAGCTGATGTTTCCGCTTAAGTCTGAAGGGAAGAAAACGCTGATATTCTAGTTTGAAGGCAGGCAGGAGAATTCACTCTTACTTCGGGGAGGGTAATCCTTTTTGTTCTATTCAGGCCTTCAACTGATTGGGTAAGGCCCACCCACATCAGGGAGGGCAATCTGCTTTACTCAGTCTACCAATTTAAATGTTCCTATGTTCCTATCACCCAGGAGCATCCCCAAAGAAACCCCAGAATAATGTTTGACCAAATATCTGGGTACCCCAAGACCCAGTCAAGTTGACACATATAATTAACTATCACAAATCCATGCCTTGTGAACTTGGCACCCATATAACACCTCCTTAAACCATATTTAATCGTCAAATGAAGACCATAACAAGGTCATAATTCCATCTAACATGATAAAACTATTCTCCCTACAACCGAAAGCACACTAACCATTTCCCCAGCAAAAGAAGTAAAGTCCTTCACTGATGTTTACTCTTTTCTTTGATATCCTGTAACTTAAATACAATGATGTAAAGTTAACAATTCTTAAATACTATTATTTAAAGCCAATACACCTTATGTTACATGATAAGGGAATAAGAGAGGGAAGAAAACATAAGTATTTGATATATATAAACAAATATATTCATAACAAAATAAGGAGGAAATATGACAATTGCAGCCCTTGTTTCTGTAACTAGTCACATGATAACTGATATTTATAACTACCTTCTTCCGCTACCCATTCCATATTCTGTTTACCTTCAGCAAGCAACTCAGCTAGTCATAGTTCTTTACTGGTAGGGTAACCCAAACCTTCATTGCTGTAAAATCTGGGCCATTAGTAGTTCTGCCTAGATTGGGTTGTTGTCATTTTCCATTGATCTTAGTCATAAGGGATGGTAACACTAAGAGATTCTCTAGAGGATTTCCTGTATTCTAGAATACTCTTCCTTCCCTCCATTGTGGAGTAGTAGTCCAGTTTCCCCTTGGTAGACAGGATCAATCACTCCAACCAACACCAGAACTCCCTTCTTTGCCTTAAATTCTAGCTCAATGGAATCGTTGTGTCTCCTGGTGGAAGCATTCCTCCCTTTGGAACTGAAACCTCTAGGCTAGCAGACCAAAAGGTCTCTGTAACAGGAGGAGAAATTTTGCTAGTGGGTCACTAGGGTTGATGGGGACCCATTGATTTCCACCCATTGATTCATGGATCTGTGAATCCTGGCTGTGGGAGAAACAGCACCATATATTAGATACAGATTCAGAGTATATAGAGACTTCTGGAGAACCTTACCCTAGCCCTGCAAGGTATTGTAACCTAGCTGGCACTGTAACTGAGTCTTCCAAAGTCCATTCCACCATTCTTTCAAGCCAGCTATTTCAGGATGGTGGGGAACATGGTGAGAGCAGTGAATTCCATGAGCATGGGCCCATTGCTGCACTTCTTTGGCTGTGAAGTTAGTTCCTTAAGCAGAAGCAATGCTGTATGGAATATTATGATGGTGGATAAGGAATTCTGTAAGACCATGGATGGTAGTTTAGGCAGAAGCTTTGTGTGCATGGAAGGCAAACCAGTATCTAGAGTGTCTGTTCCAGTAAGGACAAAACATTGCTTCCTTACTGATGGAAGCAATCCAGAGTAATCAACCAGATAGCTGACAGATCTCCCCAGGAATTATGCCATATTGGAAACTCAGTGATAGTCTCTGCTGGTGGTAGATTAGATACTCAGCAGTGGTCATAGGTTGGCTTTCATGAGTGGGAGTGCATGTTGCTGAGCCCATGCATAACCTCCATCGTGGCACTTTGGCCGTGGCCACTTTGTTCATGAACCCATTGGGCAATGAGGGGATAGCTGGGGAAAGAGGCTAACTGGTATTCACAGAAACAATTATTCTGTCCACTTGACTATTAAAATCCTCCTCTGCTGAGGTCACCTTTGGTGAGGATTCACATGGGACATAAATATCTTCACTTTTTTTGACCCACATAAGGAAGTCTATCCATATACCTTTTCCTCAGATTTCCTTGTCACTAGTTTTCCAACATGTTCCTCCCAAGTCCCTGACCATCTAACCAGACCATTCGTCACACCCCACAAATCAGTATATGATTGCCTATCTATCCCTTTCTCCTTCCAAGCAAAGTGAACAACTAGGTGCACTGCTTGGGAGTTCTACCCACTGGGAGGATTTCCTTTCACTGCCCTTCAGGGATGTCCTAGGAAGGGGTGATAGTGCTGCAGCTGTCCACTTTGGGGTGGTGCCTACATACCATGCAGAACCATCTGTAAACCAGGCCCAAGTCTTCTCTTCTTCTGTCAGCTGACTGTTGGGAACTCCCCATGAGGCCACAGGTGCAGACTGGGAGAGAGAAGACTGTGTATCAGGAGTGGAAACCATGAGCATTTGAGCCACTTCTTCATGTAGCTTGTGCCTTCAGGGCCTGCTCAGGCCCCATCATATATTTACCACTTCCATTTGGTGATGGAGCAGTGGTGTGCACACCCAACTTTATGGCTTGCTGGGTCAGATAACACCCAGATCATGATGGACAGCTCAGGTCACATGGTAACTTGGTGGCCTATGTCAAGTGTTGTTTCTACTAAAACCCAGTAGCAGATCAAGAGCTGTTCTCAGTAGGAGAGTGGTTATCTGCAGGAGATGGCAAGTCTTTGCTCTAAAATCCTAAGGGCCTGAGCTGTGGTTCACCTATGGGGGCCTGCCAAGAGTTCCAAACAACATCCCTAAATGCCAGTGTCATTTCAAGCACCAGTCATTGGATCTGCTGGATCATATGCCTCAAGTGGCAGAGCAGCTTGTAGAGCATCCTGGAGCTGTTGCAGAGCCTTCTCTTATTCTGGAGCCCACTCAAAACTAGCAGTTTTTCAGGTCGCTTCATAAATAGGCCAGAGAAACAAAGCCATATGAGTAATATGTTGCCTCCAAAATCCAAGGAGGTCCTATATATTAGTCTGTTTTCACACTGCTAATGAAGATATATCTGAGACTGGGTAATTTATAAAGGAAAGAGATTTAATTGACTCCCAGTTCCACATGGCTGAGGAGGCCTCACAATCGTAGTGCAAGGGGAATGAGGAGCAAAGTCACATCTTACATAGTGGCAGGCGAGAGCTTCTGCAGGGAACTCCCATTGACAAAATCATCAGATCTCGTGAGACTTATTTGCTACCACAGAACAGTATGGGGGAAACTGCCCCATGATTCAATTGGCTCCACCTGGCCCCACCCTTGACACATGGGGATGATTACAATTCAAGGTGAGATTTGGGTGGGGACACAGTCAAACCATATCACCCTACTAGGTGTTGTGCCTCATTTTTTGGTTTTAGGAGGGCCCAGATGCAACAACTTATCCTTCATTTTAGTGGGAATATCTCTGGCCGGGCACAGTGGTTCATGCCGGTAATCTTAGCACTTTGGGAGGCCAAGGCAGACAGATCGCTTGACCTTAAGAGTTTGAGACCAGCCTGCACAACATACCGAGACTCTGTCTCAAAAAAATTAAAAAATCAGGCTGGGCATGGTGGCTCATGCCTGTAATCCCAGCACTTAGGGAGGCCGAGGCAGGCAGATTGCTTGAGGTCAGGAGTTCGAGATCAGCCTGGCTAACATGGTGAAACCCCGTCTCTACTAAAAATACAAAAATTATCTGGGCATGGTGGTACGCACCTGTAGTTCCAGTTACTTGGGAGGCCGAGGCAGGAGAATCACTTGAACCTGAGAGGCAGAGGTTGCAGTGAGCCTAGATTGTGCCACTGCACTCCAGCCTGGGCAACAAGAGTGAGACTCCATCTCAAAAAAAGCAAACAAAAAAAAATCAAATAGAAGGAGTATCTCAATATGCCCGACACCACTGAAGCCCTAGGAATTTCACTGAGGTAGAAGGTCCCTGGAGTTTTTTTCGGATTTATTTTCCACTCTTTGTCATGCAACTCTCTTACCAATGTCTAGAGTAGGTACTAGTTCTCTCTCACTAAATCCAATCACCATAATCTCATTGATGTCATGGACCAGTGTGATATCTCTTGAAAGGGAAAAATGATCAAGATGCCACTGGGTGCAGTGGCTCATGCCTGTAATCCCAGCACTTTGGGAGGCCAATGCAGGAGGATTGCTTGAGCCCGGGAGTTTAAGACCAGCCTGGGCAATGTATTGAGACCCTGTTTCTACAAAAAAAATTTTAAAAATTAGCCACATGTGGTGATACATGCCTGGGGTTCTAGCTACTCGGGAAGCTAAAGAGGGAAGATTGTTTGAGCGTGGGATGTCGGGGCCGCAGTGTGCTCTGATCATGCCACTGCACTTCAGCCTGGGTAAGAGAATGAGACCCTGTCTCAAAAAAAAAAAAAAAAAAAAAAGATCCCTGTGAACTAAATTATGACATAGTGTTGGATAGTTGATGTATCCCTAATGTAGGCAGTGAAGGTGTATTTCTGGCCTTTCCAAATGAAAGCAAACTGCTTCTGATGGGTTTTATGGACAGGGATGGAGAAAAGGGCATTTGCCAGATCAATAGCTGTATACCAAGTACCTGGGGATGTGTTAATTTGCTCAAGCAGTGAAACCACATCTGGCACAATGGCTGCAATTAGAGACACCACTGGGTTAAACTTAATCTAGTGTCATCCTCCAAGATCCATCTGTCTTCCGCACAGGAGAAATAGGAGGGTTCAATGGGGATGTGGTGGGAATCACCACTGTAAGAGTTAAAGCGGAAAGAAACACAAAATGTGGCTTAACAGTTAAAGACAGATTTATTTTAGAGAAAATAAACCGGAGAGGGGCTTCTGGCCAATTTCAGTCAGGAGCACTTTCTCTTACAGACTAAGAGTTATATATTGGTTTTAGGGTGAGGGGGCTTATTACAAGCTTGGAATGTTTCTGTGTGGGGGAGAAGTTTTACGGTGGAGTTAAAATGTCTCTGGGCAGAGGGGAAGTTATCTTTGGGCTGACATCTTTCCGGCCAGAAGAGGTTTATCTCGAGGCTGGCATCTTCCCACCCAGAGGGGGTTTATCTGAGGGCTAGCATGTCTCTGGTTGGGAGGAGTTCGGGGTGTTTCTGGTTGGAGATGTTGTTTGTGGTTTACGGTCGTGCTGACGTTAGCCATTACGCTGATGCCCTTTGGATTTAGGCAGTTTTTTATTAAGGTGAATTTTAAAATGACAGTGCTTGTTCAAGATGGCAGTACTCCTGCTCTGTCAACCACACCTGTATCTTTCAAGTCCTTAATGTTGGCACTAATTTCTGCAGTCCCCTAGGAACCTGGTATTGCTTTTGATATATTGTTTTCCTAGGTAGAGGCAGTTCTATTGACTTCCACTTGACCTTTCTCACCACAATAGCCCTCACTCCACAGGTCAGACAACCAGTGTGGGATTGTCAGCTGCTGAGTATATCTGTTTCAATTACACATTTTAGAACTGGGGAAATAACCACAGCACGGGATTGGGTATCCACTTGGTCCACTGTGATATGGACATGAGCTAAAATTCCATTCATACTGTAACCTCCATAAGCCACTATTCTGACGTGATCACAGTGATATTTTGGGTCTCCTGGAGTAAATGTCAAAGCCTGTCTCCAGTAATTCCCAAAAGGTTTGATTATTTCTTTTCCTCAATGCAGTTATCCTAGTTAAAGGCTGTAGGTACCCTTTGGTGAAGGCTGAAAGATACAGCATAGATTTTAGATAGTTTTCTGGGGTTCTTACTCAAGGAAGACTCAGTCTCCCCTTCATTCAAGGTATTCTAGGTCTCTAAGCTGGCTCAAGCCTGGAAATATTTTTTTTAATAGAACATCAAATACCAAACTAAATTTATTTTGCTAAGAGAAATTGATGAACTAAAAGAGAAATAAGTACAGTCTAAATTTTAGATATATGGGGAAAAACCCTGAGATTACTAATTGTGTATCACAATCCTCTTATGTACATCCTGAAAATGATGGTATCAATATAATACGTACAGTGGATTTACATTTTAAACTTGATCTGTTACCTTTGAATATTTGTCTTACACTGAAAACAAATTCTGACATCTTCAGGAAACCAATATGAATAAGCTAAATATTGACTTAAAATAGTTAAACCCCTTAATAACTTCCTTCAAATAGTTTCTATTATTTCACTGCTTAAGTTCAGCGTTGGAATAACAAAGGTAACATAAGTACTTAAGATCTCAAAGGCCCATTACATTCTATTAATAACGACCAAACAATGTATTTACTGAAAATAGTATTTTTTCTTTGCCTTCCAGTTTTACACTTTTTAAAAACACAAAATTGGACAAGATCAAATAACTAAGTGGCAAAACACTGACTTTAAAAAATTACATCTTTAAACCCATGAGAATCATAATTCAAAGTATGGCCATTGGGGGCAACCTATAAACCTTTGACCCTTTCTTAACACTGACACTATGTGACTGACTTTTCACAAAACACAAATGCCATTAAGAAAGTGTATTTTTCCTTGACACACTCTGCAGTCTTGGTTAACAGACTCTGAGGCTCCAAACATGTAAACAGTTTATCCTGTATTATGAAAGAGCAAAGTTGTGATAGCAATATAATGAACAATAAAGTATAGTTCTCCCAAGAAAGAGCTAAAGATTGAGAAGTGCTGCATTCTTGAAGTCGGTTCAGTTTTACCCAAGCTTATTTTAGGTAATCAAAACCTAGAGCAATGAGCTTAGGTAAAACTTATTAAGGAATACTGAAAGCTAGATATATTTGCTGCATTTATCTTCATTGTGGACAACACGATTAGAAATCCCAGAATCAGAGATGAAAGCATAGTTTTTCCTGAGATTCAATACTATGCTGGAACCCCACCCCCACCCCCTTGAAAACCAATATATTCCATTTCAGCCTTTACAGGTCGACTAATAAAAAAGTCTCATAAATCAGGCACACACTTTGGCCAAGTTTAGCCTTATCACATCTCAAAAAAATTCATGTTATTATAAAACAAGTTTCAGTTCAAAAATATAGTTTACTTTTTAAGAAGAACCTGCAGGAAATATGAAAATAATTAAATCTGGTAGAAAGGAACTGTTACACCTGCCTGTAATTGAGGAGGCCGAGGCAGGCAGATCATTTGAGCTCAAGAGTTCGAGATCAGCCTGCCTAATGTACATTATAGTATCATTAGGTACAGCCGTTCTCCAGGCAGCTTATTTTACTGTTTAGACCGAGGTACTCAACACAGATTTCCTAATTCATGTTACTAAGAGGCAACCTTAAAGTGCTCCATTTCCATTGCTTGGTGCTCCAAAAACCATGCTGGCCCTGC